TTTTTTGACATTTTGCTACATTTTAGCAACAATATGGTTCAACACATCACATGTTTAGTAGAGGAATAACGCTTCTCTTTGCTAGTTTTATTCTTAACTTTGTGTGATCTGACCCCTCAGGCGGGTGTCCCAGGAAATGAATGGACCGACATGATACTAGAAGCCACCACTGAAGTCTTGAAGCTGGGTTCATCTCCTGTGGCCCTCCTCTTCCAGGCCCTGCTCCAGTACGGGACCAAGATGGCTGCCAGGTCAGTGATTCTCACCGTGTTCTGTTTCAACTGCAGCAGCTAGCAGCCACACGAGTGTTGCAGGTGTGTGGGTCGTCCTTCGTAGATATGAAAAACGATTTCATCCCATCGGCTTGTAAGTGAAATATATAATCTAAAGTGATTAAATGAATTAGAACATACCTGAAACTTCAGATGTATGCCCCCCCCCAATCTGTCTTTCCAAGATGTTGCTACTTTTGAAACTGCAGAGCAATTTACAAAGCAACACGTTCCAGCCCCACAATAGCCTTCTGTCAGTAGCTCACAGTTCTGCCAGGAGGCTTAATCAGAATGTTCTGTTCATCAGAGAGCTGAGGAGAACCATTGTGCCGATCATCAACTGGAGCATTTCTTTGAGAGATGCTGCCCCGTGCCAAGCATAATTGCAATAGTAAAGGCCCTTTCATGCCTGAGACATGTTTCATTTTATCATATATAAAACGGAGAGAAATGGTTATAGATTCAGACAGAAGTAAATTGGGGCCAGCTCCTTTCAGTTAGACAACAAACCAGATCAGCATCCGTCCCATTCCATTTGTTTTTAAGAGCAAATTAGCACAAGTGTCGTTTACATCAACACAAGGCCGCACAATGAGCAACACTCGCGCACGTTTCTTCCCATTTAATTCACACGGTCCACTTCTAAATGTTTGCTCGGTGTGTATGAGACATCCAGAGAATGAAATGGAAGTGATGTTGGTTAACGAGTAACGCGGCTCATGTTATACCTTTTTTGCCCATTTCTGCCTGTGCCTTCTGCAGGGAAACGAGGCGTTTGTTGGAGAGGCTGGTTTACTCTCCAGACGTCCCCGTGACAGTGGTGCAAGTGTCCAGCTGGTACCTCCTCAGACACCTGCATGCCAAAAATGACCAGGAACTAATCAATGTGAGCACACAGCTGCCTCACCGCTCCCCTGGCACTAGATCTAATCATTTCTTGTGGAAAAATGTATTAATTTGAAGTGCCAATTACCCAACATGACTTCTTTGGAAAAAGACTATGACACTGAAACTAGTCTGCCTTGCATTTTGTTTTTAACTGTCAACTGTGATAGTGATCATATTTTCTCCTCTTTTTTTGCAGGTCCTTTTGCAGCATGCCAAACTGAATGGAGATGAAAGACTGCTGGAGTTTCATCTGCTGCTTGCCTCTTCTTCATCCTGAGTCTACAGATGCATCACTATGAAATCATGGAGCTTAGCGGGCTTATACATAAACTGAAATAATCACTTTTCTGGGTCTCTTCACTACATAAGAAATCTTATCAAACTGGACATTATGGGTCTCATATCATGATATTTATTGTTTTACATTTCTTTACATACAGATTTAAAGAAATTAAATCAATTCAGCAAATCAAAATCACGAGTGTTTTCACATATTATGTCAAATGGGATTCGCACAAAGTAACTAAGTAACTATGTCACTATGTCCACATTCAGGCTGAAATAAAGGATTGATCTTGATCAATACAAAAATATTGTTTCATTTTGATTGCATCCTAACGCATGTTGATCCGTCAATACAACAAGAATGGAGTATAAAGTAGATCATTGTAGTAGAAGATGTACAGCAGTATTTATTGTAACATGTTGCACCAATTACAGTTAACTATTGATAGTTCGTTTGTGAAAAAGGAAAAGAAAGTAACGGAAGGACAAGTGAGAATTGTTTCAAAAGTATAATTACACCCTGAGCTGTGAATTGTTACTCTTTGGTCAACTTGGAGCATTTTTTCAGGCCCTTACTCCATCTCAGAGGCTGGCTGGACACGCATGCTTAGACATGAGAGTGCAGATGTTTTGCCCACATCCCCAACACTGTTGCTTGATGTGTGGAGAACCCTGCTGTGTCTTCCTCTTACACAGTGAACACACAACCACAGCACCACCAAGATGTGACGTTGCACTGCCAGGATTTCTTAGACTATTAGCTACAAGCTGCTTAAGCTCGGTCAGGATGGCGTCTGGTGCTTTTCTAATGCCCATGACCGTCACTCTTTTGGGGTCAAACACACAATCCTCCTCTAGGCCACTGGGCACGGCTAGCATGCCACAGTTGGGGGGTACCCAGGCAGTGTCGTAGCCCTGCGTGCTCCAGGTGTACTGCATAGGATGGTTGTCCTTGTCAATACGCTTGACGCGGCCAACGCGCACACGTAACTTAAGGACCACACGGTCTGAAGGGGGACTTTTCAATGGATAACGATCCGCTTTGTTCTTATCACGACTGACGTACACTCCATTTCCCAACATGCCACCCGATGACTGCTGAAAGCCATTGGCAATGATGATCCGTGCATTGGCCTCGCTGGTCCCGTGGTACATGGTGTAGACGCCTCTGTCTTTGGGCTCCTGAGACTCCCCCAGCTCCACACAAGGAGAGTCATCATCGTAGGTCACCTCCCAGCCAAAGAAGGGCAGTGACATCTTGTTTTGACAAGGGATGATGTTCAAGAGCAGCAGCCCTGTGAGAAATTCATACAAATATGACATCATGGTATGACAGATCTGAGAGTATTTTGGTACATAACATTAGATACTATATCTAAATACTATAGGATGCCATTTTTTTAATCCTTAGCAAGTACGAGTTAACCCTTTAAGTTACCTAGGTTATTGCTAACTTTAATAAAAACGTTTACTATACCAATATGGAAAGGAAAGGCTTAGTAAGACAAACAGCTACGTCAACGTTACCTGAACGAATATCGGTTACATTTGCAGGAAACCAAATTCGTATTAATCCAATTTACGTTTTTACGTTAGAATGTGGTAAGACATTTCCAATTTATGTCAACATTTTTACGTGAGTAAAACGACGGACGTTGACTGACTTCTTTGTTAACATTTGAGTTAAAAGTATCGTACTGCTCATGATCAACGTTATCGCGTCAAATCGAATGAGTTATAATGTCGTTTAAGCTTTAACTTACCGTCAGCGAGGAGTTGTTTATTCTTTATGAGTTCACCAAGTTTTACTTTCAGTTCAGCAGAAATGATTTACGTATGTCTTGCTTCCTTCTGTATTTACTGTAGCGTTGATATATACCTAAAGATGATCAGCTGTGTACTCATGGCCGGTTAGCTCAGTTGGTTAGAGCGTGGTGCTAATAACGCCAAGGTCGCGGGTTCGATCCCCGTACTGGCCACGATATAATTTTTGTCCCGTTGACATTATATTGAGTATCACTTGAGTTTTTAAGCTTTTTATCATTGATATACAACTGAATCAATGCTTTTGTACTGTATTACATTTCCTGTCAGCTGCATGCTTTTCAAGGAGGCCGAATTGTCAACTGGGCAAGAGCCACTACTCCCAGGTTCACTGTGTATTTTAACAAATACTTTATACCAGCTGACATGTTAAGAACCTTGAGGTGGTTGCTGCTTTATTAGCCCACTGTACTATATCATCTAGAGGCCCTGACTTGAAGAGGGGCCCACCCCAGTGTCTCAATCTAGCCTTCAAGAGCTCAATTATCTCAGAGGATGTTGTGCTTTACATGGTGCAGATTCTTAGTCAAGAAAATTTCAGGGCAGGTAGTATTCCAGCAGAGGAATACTGTATTAAGTATACAGAGTCCAAAGGGGGAGGACAGGGGTGTGTGCCCAAAAGCTAATTGGGTCATGGTGATGATGTGGGGAACAAGTAAAGCTGTTCTCCTTTTCCTTCTTGTATAACATATAGTAGTGGTGTCAGAACAAGGCCTTTACAGTGTGTAACTCCGATCTCTTTGCCCTTGGAAATTAAATTACACACGTTTGAGTCATGTAAAGTGTAAAACCTGGCATGTCTGTCTCCGTGTAGCACATGAATAAGAAACTAAATACAGTCCCACTTGTTACTAACTGTCTCTTAAGCTTTCACCACCTCTTTGGTTTCAAATATCTTATCTTTGCATGTCCTTTTGAAACTTGCAAAAATGCATTTCGCTCAACTGTTTACCAGTCCTGCACATGCAGCTTTTTATAACAGCAAAAGTATGTCATTGTGAAACTAGGACAAAGACATAATGGGTCTGGTAGTATAGCAATGGCATTTATTGGCTTTAGTTCTGTCACTTCAGTCACATATTTCAAGATTTAAATCACGTAAAGTCATCTTGCATTGAACGTGATCATAATGCATGCTGATCAGAGTATACAAAGCTAGTGTAGTAAAAATAACAGCTATGGTTCACTATATACTTATAATTATTTGTAGATCATTTACAAAGAGCCCCAAAATATGTCCAGCAGCATTAAACATGTTGCACCTATTACAGTTATTGTTTTATGTAAGGAAACCAAATGTATGATAACATCCTGAATTTACAATTGTTTTTCTAATCTATATCATCTCCCCTCGCCCCCAGTCAGGGTTTGGCTGGACACACATGCTTGGACATGAGAAGGCAGATGTTTTGCCTACACTCCCAGCACTGTTGCTTGATGTGTGGAGAGCCCTGCTGGGTCTTCCTCTTACACAGCGAACACACATCTGCAGCGCCAGCGCCACCTCGTCCCGGTTTTCCGGACGTCTTTGAAAGAAGCTGTTGAAGTTCCTTCTGTATGGTGGCGTTCGGTGCCTTTGCGATGCGTGCCACCGTCACTCTTTTGGGGTCAAACACACAATCCTCCTCTAGGCCACTGCGCACAGATGTCATGCCACAGTTGGGGGGTACCCAGGCAGTGTCGTAGCCATTCGTGTGCCAGGTGAACTGCATGGGATGGTTGTCCTTGTCGATACGCTTGACACGGCCAACGCGCACATGCAACACAAACACCACGCGGTCTGTAATGCTACTGTTCAATGGATAATGAGCCGCCTTTTTTATGTTACGACTGACATAGACGCCCATTCCCAGCATGCCATTCGATGACGGTTTAAAACCATTGGTGAGGATGAGCCTTGCGCTGGCAACACTGGTCCCGTGGTACATGGTGTAGACGCCCCGGTTTCGTGGTCTCTGGGACGCCTCCAGCTCCACACCAGAAGCACCATCGTCGACCACCTCCCAGCCAGAGAACTGCACTGACATCCTGATTTAGAGATGTGGATGACAGGGGATGTTGTCCTGTCAAGTTCTACAGTTCGGGGAGAAATGAATACAGCAATATGTCATCATGGTATCATTATTATTATACTTAACAGAGACAAGTAGAAACATTTGATTGGCTCAGACTTTTCTGTGGTGCACTGCATTTATTTCTTGAGTTGTCTTAATGTCTGTCCATGTTTTACTTAAAGCACTTCTAATAGCCTTGTTGTTGAGAGGTGCTTTGGCAATGAACTGGCCCTTCTTTGTCTTTTGTTGCTTTCACACTGAATCACCTGTTTGGCTTGTTTGGCAGAAGTCTGTTCATCTTGTATAAGGTGCTTTGTTGCCTCAATAAATGTTGCTAACTTGAATCTTGATTGCCTCGCTAGTTTCTCTTATTCGGTTACTGTTCCTTCTTTCATAAGATAGATAGATAGATAGATACTTTATTCATCCCGCAAGGGGAAATTTGTTCGCTACAGCAGCAAAAAGATCCTTTCAACTAGATTTCAACGTTATGGTGATCATGGCCTATGTTATAACTTATATAATCGTACAGTTGCAGTCCGTGTGTCCGAAAAGTACATATGAATCAAATAAAACACAAGATGATTATACACACTAACCTGTGTCAAAACTAAACTCTATGACTCTATCTTCCACTTCGTCAGGACCACCCTGGCTATTTCATTGACTTAGCATTTCAACGTTAAAACATTGAGACCTTACCGTCAGTAAGCAGGCGCTCCCTCTGTTTGCTCAGAGGTTTTACTTTCTGTTCGTTAGGTTTCATTTACCCTTCTGATTACGTCATACTTTCTTGCCACCATGGCCGGTTAGCTCAGCTGGTTAGAGCGTGGTGCTAATAACGCCAAGGTCGCGGGTTCGATCCCCGTACTGGCCATTGTTATCTTTGCACAGCTATCATGGAATGCTGTCTATACTTGACAGGACGAAACATGTCGTTTCACTGAATAACTGAATTGATAATATCAATTACTTGTGGTGGGAAATAATGCATGTCTTTACATGTTGTTGTACATCCACACTTTCTTAATTTGTCTGTATGTCATTGATTTTAATCAGATATCGTATTACTGTAAAGTATGATATATCTTTCCATGATAGCTGTGCAAAGATAA